AGAGAGAGAGAGAGAGAAATATTTCAGGAATACTGAAAATAATTATGATCACAAGCAATTATAAAATTAACAAGATATTTGAAGCCAAAAGATAAACTTCCAGCTCTTAATCAGTTATATTATGATGAGTTGAGAAGGATTATCAAGATACCTAGAAATAAAATAGAAAATCAATGTAGAAAATCCAGAATCTTATTAAAAGCTAGTGTAATAACTGCTATACTGAATACACAGAACAATGTCTAAGGTTGTATCATTCAGTGCTGGATTCAGCATTACTGAACTCAGATACACTTCTAAATAGATGTTAGACTGTTCTGTTAGTGAATATGAACCTTTGCATTAACTGAATACAATTCTAAGAAAAGAAATTACTAAGCAATTTTTATTTTTTTATAGATTTCTTCAGATATTGAAGAAGATAGATGGAAGTAATTAAACCTCACCCTTTGGGGAAAGGTGAACATTCTCAAAATGAATATTATTCCCAGATTAATTTATATTCTGAGAGGAATTCCAGTTTTTATAACTGCAAAATATTTTCAGAAAATAAACTCTTTGTTTAGAAAATTTCTGTGGGGTTCTTCAGTTCTGAGAATATCTTTACAGAAAATGCAATTACCAATTTGGGCAACTTTGGAGATAAATAGATATTTTATCAGTTAGAAAGCTATGGAATGGAATGTCTAATTAAAAAAAAAAAAAAGATTTGACCCTTTTTCCCATGCCAAATTGATTTTATGGGGAAAACCCAACTTTAAAAATTGGGAAAAAGATAGTGATATGGAAAACGTGGAGAGAAGTGGGGATATTAACTTTGGACCAACTGATAGATGATGATGATGAGTTTTTAACATATTCCATGTTAAGAGATAAATATCATCTATCAGATGTAACCCAATAGCAATATTTACAGTTACAACATCTGTTAACAACATTGTTTGGACCAGCAGCATTTTCAGCTTCTGAGAAACCTGAAATATTAGAACAATTTGTTAAAGCCTTTAAAACTAAAAAAAAGTTTTTATAGATATTTGGTATCAATAAATTGATTTGATATGCAGGTATTAAGAAATGAGTGGAATAAAGAATTAGAGTTTCCTATATTGTCTAGACAAAGGGAGAGTGTTTTAACTTCTATAGCAGGAGTGTCAACGGACCTCAAATTATGACTTATACAACAAAAAATAATATTTAGAATTTACTGGACTCCATTACGTTTGTATAGAAAAGGATTGTCAAAGATAGCATTTTGCTGGAGATGTAATAAGGATAATGCTTCTCTAAAACATGTTTCTACAATGTTCTAGACTTACTAAGTTTGGGAAGAAAGTAGTGTACTATATAAATATGAATGTGCGACAAAAGCTAACATTTTCAGAGGATAATATTATTTTGAACTATATACCTTGTACATGGAACTTGACAAAAGGACAATGTAAATGGATTTCTGTGCCCTTATTATGGTCAAAAGACTGATATTGCAGCATTGGAAAGATAAATGTATGGCCTCATTTAATCAGTGGATTGAAGACCTGATTGCACTTGCCACTTATGAGTGGATTACTTATAGACATAGATTTTGTATGGACAAGTATAATGAAATATGGGACTCAATTATACAAAATACAGTAGGTTAAAAAAAAAAAGATAGTAATATAAATGTATTAAAAATAAATGGATACTTGAATAATATTTGCATATAGAATTGTAATTGTTTATTATTATAATGACATATTACCATTTTTTCCTTTGTTGTATTTCTTTCACTTTTTTGTTAAAGTACTTTCTATGTGTCTTTCCCCTCCTTTTCAATAATAAACAAACAAACAAATAAATAAATAAATTTCCCTAATATGTTTATAAATAAAATATAGCTGTATTTGTTTAAATAATAACAAAATGAAAATATAAGAAGAACCTGGGGAACATGTTAGAGACCTGTACAACTAGTAGACAACTCATTATTTATAAACTAATGTTTCAAATCAACTTTTGCTGTGATGCCTTCAGGACCAAGGAACTTATGACTGAAGGATTTGTCTATGAAAACATACAGTACACTGTGCCTTGACAAACAGTGTTACAAATATTGCAAATGTAGCTTCAGAAACAAGGTATTTTTTTCCAGTTTTTATCCTATTAACCAGTAGGAGCACTAGCAACAAAGCTAGTAAACAAGAGACTCCATCTTTGTCTCTGCTTTCTTTTCTGTGATTGGAAGACTCTTAATCTCTCTTTCAGCCTACTTCCTGTCAGAAGAATAAAGTATTTTTTTATCCATTCCACCACCAAGAGGAGGTGTGGGCTTGTTATCAAACTAGGTAAACTCTTTAATTTTGACATAACTATTATTTACAATTTTATTAGATCTTTGAGGAACTATTATGTGCATCTGTCTATAAATACTCTTAACAGGTTTGATTCTATTGACACACATTTCTTCTGCTAAATATGGACCTCAATGAATGAACTGAGGGCTTCTAACCATGATTATGTCAACATTTCATTGCATGTAATCTTAAAATTGATTTTCAAGTAATCAAGTTTATTTTAATTGAGAAATTGTCCTAGGAATATAATTTGAAAAATTGATTAAGTTTTTATTTATTTTATGGCCAATAAACTGAAATCAATGGTTCAATTTTGCAATTATTATTTTAAATAATGATTTCAGTACCCAACAAATGATTATGCAAATATCCTGCTTTCACCAGTACCTCTGTCAATATGTATCTCAATAAAATACAATGCAGGCAGAAAACACAATGGGGGGTGGGGGGGAGAGACACAGACATTATATGTTATCCCTATTTCTGATGCTCTACATGTTTACATTTTGTGAGCAGACTATATCAATTACTAATTATAAAATTATACAACAAAGTTTAAGTCCAAGATTACACATGTTTATTTTATAAACCCAACAACAAAAGTAGCAGAAAAATGAATCTGTTCAGAAAAACAAAGTCTCAGAAAAACCCAATCACAAAGACCCAGAGGAACAATATTCTTTTACTCCACTACCAATAAAAACATTTGACTTCTTTTAGGATTATTAAATCTTTATTTTTATTTTTTTACTTAGCTCTTAAAAAACAAATAAATGACTGTACCTTGACATGACATACGGTTTTTCTGAAGATTATAGCCTACAGTACACAAGCATGTTCGAGTGGATTCTGAGGTTGGTAAACAAAGTTGAGAACATCCTCCATTATTGACTTGACAAGAATTGCTACCTATTAAACAATACCGAAACAATGAAGTTTGACACAATTTTCTATAAGGTACCAAGAATTACATTTATATCTTAGCAGGTAGAAGCAACTGATCAACCTTGTCTGGATTTGAAAGCTAAGCAGGGTTGGGTATGATCAGTATTTGTAAGGATAGTTTAGGGCATAGTTTAGCTGTAGTTATGGATATGTAGTGAGCAGAAATCACTCAATTTGAACTAGGCCTTACTTATTAAGCAGTTTCATACAAAATCCATAAAAACTAGCTCATCTGCACTGTTACTCAGGGTATGCCTTACATACTTTTCTGTTTATGAATACCATCACCAGTAAGAAATTAGCACTAATTAACCACCATTAGGAATTCAGAATTTGCTATAAATGTTTGTCCATAAAATCAATTTGGGTAGGGTCTGGTTAGTACTAGGATAAGATATTACCAGAAAATACCAAGCTGTCTGAAAACCAAGAACCTCTTCTGTATTGTTGCCAGGAAATCTCTATGAAGTCATTAGGAATCAAAGTTAGCTCAAAAAAGGTTTGTTTTTGTTTTTTTTTAATGGGAAGAGAAAGAATACATTTTGATTAACACCTTGAGCTATAGTCATATGCTGAAAGGAGATTCTTTATAACTGTGAAAGTTAGATCTCAAATAATTTGACCTAAACATGGAGCAATTAGAGATACAGGTAGTCCTCACTTTACAATCTTTCATTTAACGATGGTATGAAGTTACAACAGCCTTGGAAAGCGTGCTTTACAGCCTGTAAAACACTTCTGGCTATCTTAAAACATCGCACCTTCCCCCACTCACCCACTCCCGTGGTCATGTGCCCGCATTTTGAGTGCTTGGCAACCGGCTCGCATTTACAACAGGTTGCCAAGCACCCTGGGTTCATGTGATCACCATTTGCAATCTTCTGTGCCCGTTTCCCCAGAAACTCAGTGAGGAAGTTGGCAGGGAAGGTTGCAAGCAGAGGGGATGGAGGGAAGCTGAAATCTATCTGTGGTCTGCAGGAACAGACCTCAGATCCTGAAGATTTCAGCTCTGTTCCTCCAGCCCCTTGAAGGATTTCCCCTCCATGCATGGAGGGGAGGGGAAACCCTTCGGTGGGCTGCAGGAACATTTCAGAGTGAAAGGGCTGCCTACTGGGAGGATTTCAGCTCCGTGCAGAACTGAAATCCTTCAGCAGGCAGCTCTTTTGGTCTGGCCACTTAACAACCCAGGAGATCATTAACAACTGCAACCAGGAGTGCCCAGATTGCAGTCGTTGAGTGAAGCAGTCACATGGTCATTTTGCTTAATGAGCACTTTGCTCAACAATCGAGATTCTGGTCCCAATTGTGGTTGTTAAGCAAGGACTACCTGTAAAGCATCCTCTTTCCTTAAAGTAGGGCCCAAGTAATACACTGAATAAGGCAGGGAAAAGAAAGAAGTGATTGAAAGCTGGATTGATTGATTGATTGATTTGTCCAATTTATACAGCTGCCCATCTCATAAAACAAGTGACACTGGGTGGCATACAACAAAGCTAAAAGCCTTTGACAATACATTGAATGGTTCTACGTGGAGGAAACGTTCCAACAGACACGGAGACTAGGAACACTCCGGAACAGAAAAGCACACCTACTGTGCTCCTTAACCTTACTACGATGCAGAGACACTTGGACCATCCCAGCCTTTCTCACAACGAAAAGGACTCTCAAATCTCCACAAGCTAACCGCATTTACGACCGACTCGAACAAGCCCTCCTATGCGAGAGAATACACACAACCCGCAGAAAACTTGCCATCACAGACAAAGATCTATGTGACACACACATCAGCATCAGTCAAAAAATGAGAAGCCAGGACTGGGACAAGATTGACACCCTAACCTACAGGAAAATGGAAAAGGACATTGTTGATCACACAATCAGGCAAAAGCAAAAATTTAATAAATGCCAAAATAGTCAATCAAAACCGGCGCTGGATCCCTCCCGCCTTGTCATCAATTTGACGGAACGCCAGCTCGCTCCAAAAGAAACTGCCATCCTAACCAAGGGAGGAAACTTTGCAATCACACCCACCAGAATTCCCATGGAAGATATCATCACCAATGTGGAATCAGCCAACCACCACCATCCTGAAGAGGAAGCAGGGGAAATAAGGGGTGAAATAGCAAGGATCCTGTGATGGAATGGACTTATGAAGGCCAGGCTCAGGGAGATAAGCCTGTTCTTAGCCCCCAACAGGAACGTGGGAAGTTCAAGAAGATGAGGCTGGCACCTCCCTAAGGAATACATGGTGTTGTGACTGGGTGGCTTGGGAACTAGGGCTCGGTCTGGTGAGATTTCTGTCCTGAGGTTGAAGCTAATAAACACAACAGAACTGTATTTGCATTGTCTCTTGGAGTTCTTTGGGCTGAACCTGACAGATCCTACGGAAAGCAAAGCCCCCACCAGCAACATAACAAAGAAAGAGAGAAATCCCATAGAGACCCTCAATTTGGACCCCGATATCATGATCCTTCTGGCTGACAAGGGCAACGCCATGGTAATTATGAAAACAGATGAATACAAAGACAAATTAGAGAACTACTAGACCCCACCACATACAGAAAACTAAAACGGGATCTGACCAGCAAAATCATGAAACAAACCAACACACTGATGAGGAGCTCCTCCCTTCACCCCAATGTACTTCAACACATATGCAAGACAGAAACCCTTTCACCCAGACTATACGGACTCCCCAAAATCCACAAAGACGCGATCCCACTCAGACCCACTGTAAGCGCCATTGGCTCCCCGACATATGAATTATCCAAACATCTGTCCACCCTTCTACAGACCCACATTGGACAGACTCCAGCCCACATCAGAGACTCAGGACATTTCATCACCAAAATCAGTACCCTGAAACTCAACCCCATGGACAAACTGGTCAGCTCTGACGTGGTCTCCCTGTTCACCAAGATACCAGTGAGGGACACCCTGGCACTCATCAAACAGATCTTCCCAGAAGACATCATGGCTTTATTTCAGCACTGCCTCACAACCAGTTACTTCCAATGGGATAAGGAGTTCTATGAACAGATGGACAGCGTCGCCATGAGAAGCCCCCTGAGCCCGGTCATAGCAAACTTTTACATGGAACATTCTGAAAAACGGGCTTTGGAAACGGCACCCGTTACCCCAACAGTCTGGTTCTGATTTGTGGATGACACCTTTGCAATCTGGAGTTAGGATGAAGAAGAACTAGAGAAGTTTCTGAACCACCTAAACAGCATCCACCCCAATATACAATTCAACATGGAAAAAGAAATTTACAACAAACTTCCATTTCTAGACAGGTTGGTCATATGCAAACCAGACCTCGAATTAGGACACAAAGTTTACAGAAAACCCACCCACACAGACCGGTACCTACACAAAAATGCCAACCACCACCCACATCAGAAAAGAGGCATTATCAAAACCCTGATGGATCGTGCCAATCGGATCTGAGAAACCCAATTCCTAAACTCTGAACTTAACCACCTT